ACCAAACTCTACAAGTCACTCATCATGCCTGTTTAATGCTATGAAGGACTCGACAATGGCAAACATCTGATGAGCCAATCTTAGGAGTTTTCGAAAGAAAGGTTTTGCGTGAGATTTATAGTCCACTACGAGTTGGGAACACCGAATACCCCAGCCGTTGGAGCGATAAGACCTATGGCGACAATAACAAAGTGCAGCGAATCAAGATACTGCGGTTATATTGGCTGGTTCATATCGTTCGCATGTCTGAAGAAACTCCATTGTTGGTAATATTCGTTGCAGTGCTTGCTGGTGGAGGTACAAGAAGAAGAGAAAGTGCAATACTCCATTGGCTAGAAGCAGAGTGAACTGGCTTCGCTTGATGTCTCCAATTGAAGGTGAACGCCGGAGAGAAGAAACGGCTTGTATGATATTTGCTGGTAGGGTTATAACCGTAACGTAAAGACACGATGATAATGCCTTGGAAGTGAGTGTGGACAGTGCCTAACGAATTGTCATCTCCGTTTCAGCGACAGTTGTTCTTGTTTTCGTATTATTCACGCTCGAAAATTCCGTTTATGTGACTAATTCTCGCCATTTGCGGGAAGTTTTACTTTTCTGTTACAATTCGAAAAAAAAACTGCAGCTGAAGCGCATCGAATGCTCTCAGAAACTTACGGTGATGCTGCTCTGAGTGAAAGAACGTGTCGGGAGTGGTTTCAACGTTTTAAAAATGGTGATTTCGATGTCGAAGACAAACATGGTGGTGGAAGAATCACAAGAATCAGCTCGATATGATTTACTACGAGCTCTTAAAACCGAGTGAAACCATCACAGGAGATCGCTACCGAACGCAACTGATGCGCCTTAGTCGCGCGCTAAAAGAAAAGCGGCCACAATATCAAGAGCAACATGACAAAGTCATCCTCCAACACGACAATGCTCGGCCTCACGTCGCAAAAGTGGTCAAAAATTGCCTGGAAACGCTGAAATAGGAAGTCTTGTCCCACCAGCCGTATTCCCCAGATGTCGCCACTTCCGACTTCCACCTATTCCGTTCGATGGCACACGGCCTGGCAGATCAACATTTTCAATCCCTCGAAGAAGCGTCAAAAGAGGACTCCTTTTTTTGAGCCGGGATCCGAAAATTGCCGGAAAGATGGGAGAAAAGTTGTCGCTAGCGAAGGACAATACTTTGAAAACGGCGGAAGCAAAGTTGTACACCTGATAATAAGTTTCTTTCAATTAAATTTAATGCGTAGCGCAGACAGATTAATAATCTACAAGCCGCATAAGACTCATGAATAACCTAAAAATTATTATTACCTTCCATCGTAATCTGCCCAACCCCTCGTTTCTTTCTATTTGCATTTCTTTATGACCTAATTTGTTACACCTTCGCCCACACACATACTCCGTACTATATACGTGTATGTATACGTGTACACACAGACATATTTCCTACCAACTCTACTCGCAGGCACATTTTTCTTTGGTTTAGTTTGGCAATTTATTCTTGTTTAACAACAAATTAATAGCAAACACCAGCTTACATACAGACCTGCCGACATATATACAGCCAAACATACATTTAAACATATATACATACATACAAACAACTGTGAAAGGCAACATAATAAGCCTATATGGGTCAAAAATTAGAATAGGTCAGGCAAACATAAATTTTGTCCGCTTCGCTCTCACCTCCACCCAGGTGGTTGTACTCTAGACTAGCTAGCTGCCCGTATCAACAATCCCCAAAACCTTCAGTAAATACATATCTACGAATTTATGTCTCTTAGAATGTCTCTATGTATGCTTTCTTGGGTATAAGGAGGGGGGAAGCTGGCAACTTTTGACCCAATAAAATGTTTACTATTAAATATTTAATGTCCAGCATTTCGGTTGTTATACCAAAATAAATGGCATGAAAATATATTTACATATATATAATCGTATATATGTGAATTTACACACCTACGAAAGTAGCCCAAGTTATATGCTTGGCATGTGCTTTTGAAGTGATTTGCTTGCAGATGAAATACAAAGCCGAGAGTTTATGAAAAGATGCTTGCCCAAGAAGCGAAATGAAGTTGAGGGTTTGGGTAGTTGTTATTTATGGTTTGCCATTTGTGTTCCCGCTTGAATTGAATTTATGAGAGTAGATGAGTAAAGCCAGTAAATATACTTTTTCATGATTCAATGGTCTTAGTTGAGGTTAAGTAGAAGTGCCTGATCCCAATTGCAACCCACGGAGGCACGTGCGCTGGTATTATGTAAAGGTTTAAAACCCACCTTCAACGAACTGATCGCAACTTATCAGTGTAACTTCGTATCTAATATATATAACTGACTTATTGAAACCGCCGAGCTCCAGCTCCAAGTTGTGGTGTGCCTCTTGATGTTTTCCCATCCAATGGAGAGACCCACAGTTTGTTTTAAGCCGCCTCAGAATGGTTGTTGAAGTTTTAGGAGGATCAATCAGATCAAAAATACACTTCTCGCCGACATGCGACCGCAATTTGGATGTTGGTCAAAGAAGAACTTGAACCCTGAACTTGAACCCTGTCAATCTAATTGTAGTACGCACTGCTAACCGCTCAGCAAATGCGGCCACAAGTATGACTTAAAACCTGGTAAATCCACCATTGAGCAGATATTCACTGGGCGGCAAATCTTTGAGTAGACCCGTGATTCTAATAGGAGTAAAAAATTGAAAACCTTAGACCACTCTTGACATAATGAATCTTGAATGTTAATATAGGTTTGGGGTCTCAAAATGTTCAGTCTCAGCCTCCCAGGCATAGGATAGTTCATTAGCGAGTACACATCTCTTCCAGTTCCAAGCTCCTGTTAAGAAAGGAGTAGGGTTAACCAAGTAGCACCGCATGGCTTTCAGTAATCGCCGCAGGAAGTGGTAGCCTAACGGTAAAAATTCGCCCCTAAAAAGCCATTCATCTTGGCAGCAAAGCTAAGCTCCGATGCCTTAAAACAAGCGTCGATAAGAACATAAAATTATAATCCAGGGGAAACTCATGTTAATGGAAATGCTGTGGCAAGTGCATCGATTCTGAAGGATCAACGCTGCATTCCCAGAATAGCAACGCTAGTCAAATTAACCACATCAAACAGAGGAAGTGAAGCGTAGCTACCGAAACCAATCAAATTGAAGAAGAGACCAAGCTCAAAGTGAATGAAAACAGTGACAGTGACAGGAAATTAGATCTGCAGTTTAGGGAAGGCTAAGCCGATGAAAAAACAAAAACCCCACTTCGCAAGTAAGAAGCCAACTGCTAAGGTCAATGATGGACGAGCAGTATCAGAAAACTGTGGAAGGAGTTCGTCTAATGAAGGCGGAATGATGGACCGCATATAGTACATAGAAGCGATTCCTTTCTTTAGTTCAGTCATTATAGATGATCGAAATCCACAGGAATGTGTCATCTGGAGAGAGCCTGCAGTGATGGACCTCATTTGAACGTCGTCTTCAAACAGGTCTGTTATTCAAAAATAGATATTTAGACAGACAATTAAAACCGTCTAGGACGTTTCTGCTAACATCTGATTGGTAGAGAGTCTACCAGAGCTGTATGTGGTAGAATGACTGCAAAAGTTAACGGTGGCGACTTTGAAGAGCCTGTTTAAGCAGAGCAATGAATTAAGGATCTGTGGGAGACATTCGACAGTGGCAGCGCTCCAAAATAAGACGTCAGCATTTTAAGTATGCTCGAGGATTCCTACTCTTTTCTTAAATTTGTGAGTTATAGATCACATCTTTTCTTTTCCATCGTTCAAATCTGAGCCGGATACCATTAGGTATCGACTAAGCCGCCACAGAAAGAATGTTGTTGAGCTTGTTTGCTGGTGAATTGGACCTCAATAGGGACCAAGATAAGTACATCAATATTTATGATTTCAGATCTTCAATCAAAGAGGCAACCAAGTGGCTAAAGGCTTTTTGCACAGTAAATTAGTTTTACTACTTTCGATGGTTGTTGGTATGTTGAGGTTTACCAGATTTGGTTTGAGGTTTAGTGCAATTCATAATATGTGTCCGGCACTCCCAGTATATTTCTGATATGAAATAAATGCTCCTCGTGTTAAACACCCTGTAGAACCTCTATTGGCTGGCAAAGCATTGAGATGCATACCACAAATCGGAGGAGGAGCTCGGTCGAAAACCCCTTCAGTGCACAGCGACGTTGTCAGATGGGATCTAGTAAATTCTGAAATCCCTAAACTGAAGATCTCTTCTCGTTATACTTAGCGATATTTTTCGGTGCTTCCTTGACGCTTATTGACCGGATTTTCTGAACGATTCCTTTCTTAAATTCGCTCAAAGTTGCTGTATAAAAAATATTACTAAACATAAAATGTTGCTTAACATAAATTTTGCTAAGATAAAAAAACTAAGCATAAAATATTTTGCTAAATACTCGTATTTTATATAAATTGCCAAACATAATTTTTTGTCACTTATAAATCATAAAATATTTCTTAACATTAACATATAAATTTTTTTTACCATTAAGTACTATTAGACATAAAATATTACTAATAAAAGAAGGCAAAACATAAAATATGGCTGAACATAATATATGGCATAACATAAATTATGACTAAAAATAAAATATGACTGAACATAAAATGTGGATGAACATAAATTATGACTAAAAATAAAATATGGCTGAACATAAAATATGGCCAAACATGAAATAATGTTATACGCAAATAAAAATTTCGAAAGCAAAATGTCACTAAATTTAAGATGTTGCCAATCCCATTATTAAGCACTTTTTCAAGTGCATATGTATTCAATATCGGAACGTTGTAAGCTTTATGCATTATGCATATTAAATAACTTCAACCAAATGAGTAATCTGTAAACTTTTACGTAGAATAATATAAATATAGAAATATACTATATATTTAAATTTATATGCATGAATGATTTGTCACCACAGCCAGAGTGATAAGAGAGAAGCAAAATGCTGGCAGTGTATCAGTTTAGCTTACGATTTTGCGACGTTCAGTTCCTTACACAGCCGCATTGAAGAAAATACAAATATTTTACTATAAAATCACATTAAATAATTTGAAAAAATGTTCAAAATTTTGAAAATCATAATTACATTATCTATCGCCGTCAATTGCATCGCAGCCGAGTCACTTCATTCTATATGTGAGAATAATATTTGCTATTGCAAAGAGGGCACACACAACGCAACCTCAGCTACTGGCCAACAATATTGTGCTCTAGACAAGGTGGAACCTTGTACTCCGCATGCTGTGCGTATATCGCCAAAAGTTTGCGAATGCATAAAAGGATATGAATACAAAGATTTTGAACGCACAACCTGTGTACGGTCGAGTAAGCCAGGTTGGAAGGCGGAAGCCACAACAGAAACTTCAATTGATGATTTCACAGATGATTATCTAGATGAAATTTCTGAGCGCAACAAACCGAATGAGGAGGATGTAAAATTAAAAGATCTACCAACAACAACATATGTGCCTACAACTACAATCACAACAACGCATAGTGTAACAACCACAAAACAAGCACCAGCAGATGAAACAAATTGTAATAAATTTTATTTATGGGTTGGTGTAGCAATAATTGCGATTGCCGCTTTAGTGTCATTAACTACACTTTGTTGCCTTTGGAATCGGTGATATACATAATCATATCAAAACAAACAAAAACACAGTTTAAAGCAATTAAAATCATATGGAAACTTAAATTTTTTCGTTAAGAATTGCATTTATTTTAGACTTATGGGAATACAAAAAATGTATTAAAATTTAGTTAAGTTAAATTTAATTTAAATTGAAATTATTAAGTAAAACTTTATTTTATTTTATTTTATTTTATTTTATTTTATTTTATTTTATTTTATTTTATTTTATTTTATTTTATTTTATTTTATTTAATTTAATTTAATTTAATTTAATTTAATTTAATTTAATTTTATTTTATTTTATTTTATTTTATTTTTTAGTTTATTTTATTTTCGTTATTTGTTTTTATTTTCTTTAATTTTGTTTTATTTCATATTATTTATATTTTTTTATTTTATTAATGCATTTTACTTTAATATTATTTTATTAGTTTTTTTTTATATAATAAATATTTTTAGCTTTTAAATTAAAATTAGTACAATAAGCTTAAATATTTTAAAATATAAATGTAAGGCGAAAAATTTATTATTTTTATATTTAATAAACATAAAAACAAATTTGATACAAATTTATTTTTTAAGATGAACATTTTTCATATAAACTATCGACAGGGTATAATAAATTATAAATAATAAGATTTTGTTTTTTTTTCAGCGTTGTTTCAATAAACCCACATGCCTGCTCTTATCGCTTTAAAATTCAAAAGAATACAATACAATATAGGTATTATGATATTACAAAACTCACATTGAGTCAGCTTCAATTGTGATTTGTATTGTATTACATATATTAAAGTAACTCGAGATATTTACATAAAATTTTGCATATTCATGGGTATGTATGTATGTATTCCGTGACTTCAATGTTGAATATTTCTGGTCCGTAACACACATTTGAGCCAAGCACAGTTAAACTCCGAACTTCAGAACCTCTTTACTTTCTTATCTGAAATCATACTCAATTCGCGCCCCAAATAGACTGAAAACGAGTGCTTCGAGTAGGAGAGATAATTTATGTTGTGTACCGCTCAGATAATCTATATATACAAAATGCTTTGCCCGGAATGACTGATGGATTAACCCACATTCTAAGCCGCTAATCGTAGAGATCTGAGACATAAAACTGTTCTGCGTATGACGAAGGCAACGGATAAGAAAGAATTTACTGGAGTTTGAACCTGGCTTCGATCTATTTCAAAAATCCGATATTTTTTTTATTTTTTAATAGTTCGCTCTTCAGAAAACATAGGTAGCTCTTGGTCTAAATTGATGTGGAAAATAGTTTTTCTTCCAGGAAGTGGACTTGAGACCAAACTATTCCCAAAATTATATTAATGATTAGATTTACATGGTGCAAAGGTGGCTTTTTGTATAAATTAAAAATAAATATATAAAATACTATTAGAACTATCTTAAAATTCCATAAGGTTGTAGTTGGTGGTAAACTCTAGTTTCTATATTTACCGTCTGGCCTTCTGATAAAAAGAATCCGAATCCACGAAAACGCCTTAATCAAGGAAAGAAGACTTTACCTTTTCAATTTTGGTTGAGTTAAAAAACCACATTTCGAAACTTTTAGTTCAGTTTGCATATCAAGATCGTAATCCGATCTCTCATCAGCGGTATATATGTTGCGTCGGCATTTACTTTTTCATGCAGCGTTCGTTAAAAGTGTAAATTTTGGAAGAAAATCGAGGTAGATTAAAGCTGTCCGAAGCAGTAATTTCTGATCCGCCAAGGATTCAGCGACCTTCAAACAGCTGTTGCTTCTCCCTAAAGAATACATTGGTATGCCTTTTTCCATTTTTCCCAAGCTGCTTCTGCAGGAAGGCCGTGTCAAGGTAGAATGAAACTACAAACTGCATGGAAAGCTAGGCAAACATGACCATAATTGGTTAGAACAGAATATATATTTGGCACTTTGTAACCGCTGAGCTCCTCCTAAAATTTGTGACGACCGCGTTTTGATGTTTTCCCTAACAAATGGAGGTACCTACATGATCTAATGGATCTAATGAGGTTCATTAGAGACACAAAAATTGGTAAGCTGAATTGTCAAGTTTTTTTGTGACGTCAGGTAACTGTAGCAAAAACACTTTACTATTAGGAAATTTAAGTTCGAAAATGCCACAGCACACACTGATATATAAACAGAAAATGCACATTATCTGTTTATAATCTTAGATATTCTAAATAACAACGTCTAAACTTTGTTTTTTCCCTCCTTTCATTGTTTTCTAATACACCTTTCACTTGCGCAACTTTTCGTCTGCATTTCAATGTGGCCCGTCTAAGTTGGCACACAGCCTTCCCTCACTTTACACGTCTTCATACATACACGTACGTGCGTTTGTATGCAATGGCCGCGGCAGACACGCGAAAGCGCTAAGTTGAAGTTGAAGAAGAAAAGACGTGCAATGACGTGTCTATGCGCTAAGAATACAAATATTTATATATGCACCTGTGAGGGGTATACCGTAGAGCCACATCAAACGAAAGTTTCTAAAAGTGGGTGCTTCGACAATGAGAACTGCCGAAGAAGTGCATAACTTTCAATTTCAAAGAATTTTCCGAATTTTCAGCGCACGCACAAGCCCTTCGTGGTGTTGTCTGGAATTTTAAATTGTCTAAATATACATATTTAAGTACATATATATTTTTCTTATATTAGCACAACATAATCAAAGGGATAAAAGACTCGAATTGTGGGCATAAGAAGGGTTGCTCAAAGGTTGTATGTGAGCTGAGATATGAAAGTAAATGCATAAGCGGTGCAATTAAGTATGATTACGTAATAAAGGCTTATCCATTTTGAGCTTTCCGAAAATAAACTCAAGTCAAATGCGCTTAAAATAATTTTATTTTTTTTTTTATTTTATTTTTTTTATTATAAAATTTGAAGCTTGAAATATATGTATGTGGAACACTCGCTAATCATTATAATTGAAATTACAGTCTCTCGATACGTTTGAGGTAATTTTCGACCACTTTTCGGCAAATACTGGTTGGCATTTCAGTCATTATTTTACGAATATTGCTTGTCATGTGATCAAGAGTTAAAGGTTTATCAACATAAACGATATTTCTCATAGCTCCACAAACAAAAGTCAACGGTGTCGAATTGGACAATCTCGGCGGCCGGTTGACCTCTCCAAGACGAGATCTCGCACAACTGAGAAGTTTCTTTGAATCTTATTAAAACCACATATTGGCCAAGCCATGTTCTTCAATTACAGGCCAAAAAAGTCGGTTATCATACGACCATAACGCTTCGAATTGGCAGTGTCTTTCACACTGTTATCGTTTTTAAATAAATAAGAGCGCAGCAGATAGTTTTTGTTTGTTTGTGTGATGGTCACTTTTCGTTTATTGATATATATATAAATATATAATATTTCATTAATATTACATTTTATTTTATTTTATTTTATTTTATTTTATTTTATTTTATTTTATTTTATTTTATTTTATTTTATTTTATTTTATTTTATTTTATTTTATTTTATTTTATAGCATTTGATATAATTTTAATTTATTTGTTTTAAATATTTTTTTATTTTATTCAGTTCGAGGTTACCACAATTCTGATTCTCTTTAATTCCTCATCAACTTAGCTCTCCAACAGCTGCTTGCCTCGCTACTATGCCACTGAAGCTTTAATTTTTCCTTCATAAACGTAATTGTGGTAGAAAGCAGAAGGATAAGAAAGGAATTCGAATTGCTTTGCGTCCAAATCTTAAATGTGGTACTTAAAGTTAAATTTCCTCTACAATTCTCAGCATATTTCTCAGCAGTTTTTCTCCCACTGCCAACAGCAGCAATTCTCTTAATAACGCCTCCCACTCGTTTTATTCTTAGATTGCTAATGTCTCAAATTAAAATTGCGACAATTTTTAGTTTTATTACAATTTTAAGTGGCGCCTGGCAGCCAATTAAGTTGCCTCAATGCTTTAATCACTTCATTCCGCCCTTTCCTACTACTATTTTTTGCTCATTATTTGCTTTTCTTGGTTTGAGATTCTAAGAAGCTGAATGACGTCGCAAGAAGGTATATATGTGCATTAATAGATATACACATAAACAAACATATAATTCCATACCCACATGTTTGCATAGAGAGCTGATGAGTAAATGACAGCTACTCCAGAGAAATTGTGAAAGTTTTGCAATAATCTCTTCTGGTATTAAGCAAGTGTTGGTTCATAGTTCATAGAAATTTCAGTGGGTATAAAATTTTTAACTACCGAAAAAAAAGATCCACTATTGTAGAGTCTAAAAATAGTCTTTTATGTACAATACATCTTTTTAAGCTTTCAGCTTGATAAGGGTGCATTTATTTGGAAGGCCATGTTGCGTTCCTTAATTGGAGCTTGTACACCTGATCATTGTATTTGCTTTTCTCTCGAATTTTCCTCATGCCGACTTAAGGGATATTGCTTTTTTACTAGACAGCAAAAATAAAATAAAAACTAACTTAAGCTTTGATCTAGAGAGTGGACTTTAGTTAAGGTTTTAATTTCGTTTTATCTTTGCTGAAGATTCCAATCTAGCAGATTGGTTAAATCCTTCATGATTGGATCGATAGTTTGATGGAAACTGTTTAACAGTGAACTGGATAACGAAAGACTTACTGTAAGTCATGAATTATTATCTCAAGTATGACTGATGAAATTGTATAAATTTTGTTATTAGGCTGGCCAGTTCGAAGAACAGTCTGCTGAGACTCGTCAATATTTGGTGCAACACACAGTGAACCGTCCTTGCCTACTTTGCAACTAATACTAAGATTGGTACCAATCGCCGCTGATGTCTTTTCTGGTATCCCACCACTTTCCATACGTTGGAAGTACTAGACGATTATAAGTGCTACGCCAGGTTTCACTATCTCAGGCAAGATTTCAAGTCACTGAAAGTTCCGGGTTAGTTGGGAGTGTCAGTCTTACCTCATATGCGATTTCTCATTGTTGTCCGCACTGTGACGACCGAGGTCCTCATAGATGTTTACAGTATCCTTTCGCATTATTATGTGAATTACCTTCAATCGTCTTGTCGTATTTTTAGTGAGCGTCTAGAA